AACCGCAGCGGCAAGGCTTCGGAGAGCCTTGGGATGAGCTATGTGCCTGAAAAAGGGCCCTTTCCAGTGCTGCAGGGTGTGGGAGGAGGTGAGGACCGCTGTCGGATGCTGGGGGTACAGGTACCCCCTTGCACACACATCCACATGTGCGTGCAGCAGGGAGAAAGCTACTCTGAGCCTAAAACTTCACTTAATGGCTCCGCTGAGCTGGCAGAAGTTAGGAGCCAAGCCGCATCGTTTTGCACAGAGGCACAACTTGCCTTCTTCCTCCTCCTGAATGGAAATGCAAGGCTGAGACAGAAACAGCCTCTTGTGTTGACAGAGAGAAGCCTCCTGGCTCCGGTGTCTGTCTGGGTGGATCATTTCCCCTTCCCCGATGGGTTTTGTCACTGCCTGAACCATTCTGCTGCAAATCTTGTTCATCCCAAGGGGGTTCTTTTTTTTGGGGGGGGGGGTAGGCAGGGAAGGGGAGAAGTGATGGAGACTGCACTTTACCCTGAGGTTTCGGAAAGGTGGGGCAAGGAGGGACACGGTGATTTGGTTTTGCATCGTGATCTCCGATCAAAGATTTCGGTGGCTGTGAGCTCCGGCTACCTGCCGGGCCCGCAGATGGAGTGAGGAATTTGCAGCGGAAGAAAGGAGTCAGGGCTTTGCTTGCAGTATTTCTTCAGGAGACACCCAAGGAAAAGCACGGATTAAGCAAGTTCTGCCTCGGGAAAAGAGCCAACTCCCAATTTTCTCCATGATGGGAAGCAAGTATGGGTGCTTTCCCTGCACACACATCACCTGCAGAGTTTTGGCTGTGCAGGTTGTTAATTAGCAGGGGATGCTCATCACGTTAATCCAGTGATGCTCAGTAAGAACTGTGTTGGTTTGGAGGAGAACAGACTTAGCGCTTATTAAGCCACGCAGCTCCTGTGAATCACAAGGGCCTGATCCTGCTCGAGGGGGTGAGGACCAGCTTGAGGGATGTCAGAGGAGCCACACTGCGAGATTATGGCTCGGCTTGAAAGCAGCTGCACAGTCGAACAAGTGACAATCAAACGGTCTAAATGAGTCTGGATTTATCGTCTTCCCATACAAACCCCGTCAAACTTGTTTCACTTTATGTGTCATGAAAATGGGTCTCAGTCAACTCGGCAGAGTTTGTGCTGAGAAATAAATACATTCCGGGGTCCTGAGTCAGGCATTTGCCGGTGTTTATCTCTAAGAGCCGATCTCAGCCTCTGGCAGGTTGGCAACAACGTTTGCTTTCAGATTTTCTTCAAATGCAACTCAAAATGTTGTGCCCCCCTGCCCAAAGCACTGGGAAGATGCTCCTGCTTGGAGCTGGGAAGGGAGACCCACCACCTAATGGGGTCCAGTTCCCTTTTCTAACCTCTTCTGAAAGCATCTGCAGGTCTTGTGTTGCGAGGTAGCGCTTGCATCAGCGATACCCATGTGGTTGAAGACCCAAGGACTTGACCCCGCATCTCCCAAACCCATGTGCGTCCCCTTCCTCTGGACAGTGAGGATGGTGCAGACCCATGTCTGCTGCCTTCCCCTCGTTGTCCCCTGGCTTGGTGGCAAGCAGGATGAGGTGTAGGTATGAGGATCACGTTTTGGTGCCCCCCTGGTCCCAAATCTTGGGAAAAATGAGACCACGGTGTCCCCACGCTGAGACACCGAAGCCAGCTGATGTGGTTCAGCTTTTGAGCCACCACCATCCCAACGCAGGGGTGTTGAGATGAATTTTTATTTAAGAGCAGCAGAATGGCTCAGCAGACACAAACCTCACCCTTACGGATCTTAAAAGACCGTTTCACTCGCAGGCAGCTCAAGGTTGGGGTCCCTTGTGCAGCGGTTCCGGCGCCGGCTCAGCATGGTTACTGCCATCCGTGGTGGGACCGCCGGCGAGCACCAAAATACCACGCTCAACTCTTCCTACAGTGTTAGAAAGTAAAAGCATGGAGCTGGGAAAGTGGTAGCACATTAGTACTGTTTATTAGGACAGCAAATTGTGCCAGAAAAGACTACACACAACAGCTAATGATAACATTGTGCACATTCACTTAATAGCTAATTAATCTCTTTGACTTTCCTAATGTACAAAAAGGAGCCTTCGGTTTGCGAGAACAACCCAACCATTTGCATTTCTTATTTCCTATAATTGGGGAAGTGGAAGAAATGGGGAGCGAAAAACCCACCACACACATCAAGTTGTTCACCTCGGCAGATAATAATAATGAGATGATCATCTCCTGTAGTATTTAATTAGAAATGTCGCAGTTAATTGATTTCTTGGATATGTTAATTAAGAAATAATGAGGACCAGGTTGCAGCAAAAGGTGCCAGCAAGAAGTTTTGAGTCCCTCCTGGAAGATGTGTCTGTTGGCTTCTCCCCGAGCCGGCTGGGGGACAACCCCGGGGTTGTATCACCCGTGTCCTGAGCCCACCTTTAAGCTTGGGCACAGCTCAGCTCCTTCCATTTTTGCTCGTTGCTCATTTTTCTGCATCCCTGCCTGTGGACAGATGCCCACAGGTCCCGGCAGGACAGGCAGCAAGGTCGCCCCGTTTGCTGCCCGTGCCAGCGCCGCGCATCGTTGGGATGCGGGATGACCCAGCAGATGCTGGACCCTGCCACCCTGGGACAAGCGATGCCGGTCGATCTCAGGGTTATACCGATGCCACGGAGCCGAAACGTGTAGGTGTGTGTCAGCCCCCCGGACCGCTTCGGTCGGCTCCCCTGGAAGGGCTGTGATGGAGATCCGGAGCCTGGGATGCCCTTCGGTCGCGTGGGGGGGAGCACGGGGGCTGCCGGTGTGTTGCGGCGAGACCCTGACAGCCTTTGAGCGAAGGTTTTTGGGGCACAAATAAGCTCACCCGAGAAGCCGGCCTGGCTCCGAGAGCGTTCCCGGTGTCGGGTGTGCAGATGGCAGAGGCTTAAAGTGGTCCTGGCGGTGGTAGATACCCCAGCCCTGGGAATCTCCCCGGGTCGCTTTAGGAAACGTCCACTTTTGGTTTTTTTCCCCTTTTTTTATGGCTTATTTTGTCACCCGACATCCTCAGCTGCCCCTTCTCACGCACCCACCCTCCGGCACCCGATCTGAGTGCACCTTATAACCGCGTTATGGCAAGTCCCTTGGGACGCAGCGGAGGAGGAGGGGGGCGGTGGGGTTGTTGTCGCCCGCCGGCACCGGCACGTCTTCCAGCGGTCCCTTCGCCGGACCTCCGCGGGCGTACGGACCTCCGCCGCTCTGCCGCGCGCCCCGGCTCTTTTTAACCTTCTCGATCGAGCTACCAACCGCGACACTTTGTGTAACACTCGGGCCTGTCTGGAATAAAAGCGTTTAAAGACTCGGCGGTGTGGTCCAACCTCCGTGCGCCCGTTTGACGTGGAGGGTGAGGCGGGTGTCGGGGTTTAAAGGTCTCGTCGGAAAAGACGGGCTGGTTTTACAAAGGAGGAGCTGCCGGGGATGGGGTTTTTCCCTGCAGCAGGAGGGGACGCGGGCAGGGGGCTTTCCCCACAGCAGGGATTATTATATTTGTGTGTGTGCTTATATTTAATATTATATATCATTATAATCGCTTATATATCATAAAATATATATGCAAATATATATTATAAAATATGTAATTATAGTTATATATAATATACATTATAAAATACAATATATATACACACAAATATGTGTATATATTGTGTGTATATATACGATTAAAATATATATAATAATATATAAAATACACATTATAAAATACAATATATATACATGTTATATACACATATACATGTGTATATAGTGTGTGTATGTATATGCAAGTGTGTGTATATATGGTATATCTTATATATAATTATTATATTTGTGTGTATATATATTTTAATATTTTTTTTATATATATATATATATATATATATATATATATATAAAATTATTATAAGTGTCCTTTCCCCCAAACTCCAGCGAGACATGGGAAGGATGCCCAACCTTTGTCGCCCAAGACCCCCCACCCAAGTCCCTCATCGCCGGGGGGTCCCAGGAGGTCCCTTCGCCAGCCCCGTGTCTCGGGGGTATCCCCGGGGAAGGGAAGGGGGATATTCCCAGGGGAAGGCGGGAGGGAAGCAGAGCTGTTTGGAACCTCTCCCCGACCGACATTCAATCCCCGGCGCAGGTGTGAAGTTGCCGGCCCCGAAGCTGCCGCATACCTCTCATACCTGCGGCCACCCCGGCGGTGGCCCCGCTCCGCTGGGGACCCCCGAGGGAGACCCCCATCCTCACGGCCATCCTCATCCTCCCCAGCGCCCACCACGCTGCGGCCACCGACTCTCCTGGCTCCATCGCTCCCGTGGGACCCAGCCCTCCCCGTCCCCGCGGCCGTTCGGCCGGCAATGCGAGAGGGGGACGGTCCCCTTGTCATGTGTCCCCCCCCTCCACCGAGGCAACCAGACGGGTTTCCAGCGCATTTTGCTTTTTTATTACCACGCAGTAACACACACTACAGCTGCTGACTACCTACGACGGGGAACGCACGCACACAGGCACAAAAATAAAAGAATAAATTAAAATAAAGCAGTGTAAAAAAAAAAAAAAGGACGGAGAAAAGGAGGGAGGTGAAAAAAAAAGCAAAAAAATAACAATAAAAAGGAAAATGAAAAAGGGGTTGGGTACACTGAGCTTCTAGGTAGGACGTTTTTATTTGATCTCATGGCTGACGGACGGCTTCCAGCGCGGAGGAGGATGCACGGTCGCGTCCCCGGGGCCGCGGGCGCCCTGGCAGCCTCCTCTTCCTCCTCGGCTCGGCGGCGGGAGCTTCCCGAAAAGCACCTCCGAGGGATACCCCGGGTGACTGGGGGGGGGGGGGGACACGGGGTGTGGGTCCCCGGTCAAGGCCGGGCACCCTGGAGGAAAGGCGGCGGTTTGGGTGACGTCCCTAGAGTTTGTTCGGTGATGCCGCCTGTGTCCCCCCTTCCTCCCCCGGGTTCCTCTCCATGGTGGCTGCACCAGGAGCCTGTCCCTGCCTTAGTCGTTGGAGGTGACGTCGATGTCTTCTCCGCTCGACTGCTTGGTGGCGAGGCGCCATCGGTTGATGTGGTGGGAACCTTTCTTCTTCTGATCCGAATCGGGGCCTTCCTCCTCCAGCTTCTGCCGTTTGTATTTCGTCCGCCTGTTCTGGAACCAGACTTTTACCTGGGCGAGAAGGAGAGACGGGCGCTCGCGGAGGGGTCCCAGCACGGGTCCCGGGCAGCAAGCTCAGTTTTCCTCGGACACCGATAAAAAAGAAGTCCCTGTCCCTCCAGGAGCGCTCCCACCGCCACCCTGCCCTGCCTCGGTTTCCCCTCTGCCCACAGCAAGGTGGGATGGGGAGGGGGACAAACGTGGCACATCGCAGGATGCGGGGTGCTGCCGCCTCTCAGCTCTGCTTCGCTGCGCATCCCAGCCTTGGAGAAACCCAAGACGGGTGAAGGACGCTCAATCCCACCTCAGACACGGGGCCAGCAGGCACACGGGACCCTCCTTACAGTGGCGCAACCCGGTGCCCATCACCCCGGCGTCTGGGCTGCGCGCAGCGGCGAGGTCTGCGACGGCCACGTGGGAGGACACGCGGAGCCATCCCCACACCTCCAGTGCGGACCTGTGTCCAGGGCCAGCGTGGCATCGTTACGCTTGGGCTAACCTGTATATAACCAGGTAGCTAATTCTAGATAGATTATAATTACAATTATTGATAATTAATTTACCACATTGAGGTTTCAGGAAACCTTTTCCACCGTGATGGTGGTCAAACGCTGTCCCAGGAGAGGCAGCGGGGTCTCCATCCTTGGAGATGACGCCCTCCTCACCCACCCGAGGCCCCGAGCATCCTTCTCCGACCCCGCACGCCCTCGATGCCAGCGCCGGGAGCACGGCCCGTGGTGGGGGCTGGACACGGCACCACGGACACGGCACCACGGACATGGCGGTCGGTTTGGGATGCTGAAAGCACCCAGGCGGTCAGTGGTGTGGGATGCCGTGCAGCCGGGGATGCGGGATGCTGCAGTGAGGGATGCGGGATGCCAGAGGCAGCAGTGCGGGATGCTGCATCCGGGGATGCAGGATGCTGCAGGCAGTGGTGCAAGGTTGTCACAGACGGGATGCGGGATGCTGCAGGCAGCGGTGCGGGATGCTGCAGACGGGATGCGGGATGCTGCAGGCAGCGGTGCGGGATGCTGCAGACGGGATGCGGGATGCTGCAGACGGGATGCGGGATGCTGCAGACGGGATACGGGATGCTGCAGATGGGATACGGGATGCTGCAGATGGGATGCGGGATGCTGCAGGCAGCGGTGCAGGATGCTGCCCGGCTTCCCAGGCCCCGCAAGACACTAGGTGCCGCTGCTCGCCAGCTTGCCACCGGCCAGGCTGAAGCCTTTACCCGCACCTCATCCCCCGTCACCCCTTTTCCCCCCTTCTCCTTCAGCATTAATTGCAGGCAACGTTTGCTTGCCGCTCTGGAGCCTTTCGCAGTGAGGCGAAGGCCAGTGTTCACACCTCACCGCATTCCCCAGGTGAGCCAAACCCTTGCCGGGTGCCGCGCAGCCAGCACAGTACAAGCCCTTGACTTCAAGGCATGCTTAGTCTATTGAAACAGCTGCTTTATGGCACCGGTATATATTATAAACCTCCCCCCCCACACCGCCCTGGACTCAAACCATTTGCTTTCCTAGCTTTGGGGCATTTCTGGAACAATACGGAGCTGGCGCCTTTCATTCAACGACTGCAAAGCACTTTGCAAACTTTAATTAAAGCTCTCAGCCCTCTGGGAGCAGGGAAGTTGCCTTATCCCTAAATTATAGAAGGGGAAACTAAGGCATAAAGCAATTAAGATGCTTGAGTGAGGCTCTGTGGAAATCAGGGGTGGGTGTGAAGCGGCTCCTGCACGTAAAGCCTTTCCTCTCCAGCTCTGTTCAGCTCGGAGAAATCCAGCCGGGTACGGCCATCTCCTGTGGGATGAGGCTCCCTTGCGCTTCCCAACTGTTTCGGCTGCGGGAATGGGGATGTTTCCAGGCTGGATGGGCTCCCTGACCCCTCCGATACCGCATCCCTCGCTCCAACAGGCCAGAAGCCACAATGAGAGAAGTGTGAGAACCTCACAGTGGGCAACTGGGGGATAAGCTGCCCCCTACGATGCCTCATCCTGACTCCAAGAGTAATTGGTTTAAACCCCCAAGCTCAGGGGGTTTTATCCCTTCCCAAACCCTCGCCACATTAACCATTGTCATGCCGGGTGTTTGTGCATCCGACCAGTGTGATGCTCCCGGGGTCCCTGCCGTTCCCCGGGACTGGCCCTGCTCTCCAGGGTCACCACCGTCCCCGTGCTCCTGCTGCGGGATGGGGACGGTCCCCAGATGGCTCCTGCATCCCGGTCCTGCCTCTGTAACACAGCTCCCGTCCACTGCTTTCGCCTGCAGGCGCGATGCGCTCCCACCCGTGCAACACCCTGCGGGCCATCGCCTCCACCGAGAAATCACGCTCTGCTTCGGGGATGCCAACAGCACCCAGAGAATCAGCTCTGGCTGAAAGGTGACGTTGCCGTCACCAAACTGGGGACAATTAACAGCCGGTGGCTTCATGTGCAGCTCCCCTGGACGACGACCCAAACCCTGCTGAGGGCTGAGAGCACAGGGATGGGTCTGGATGGTGACCGAGAGGGACCAGCTCCGTCATCGCTCGGGGCCAGACACGGTGACACCGCTTGTGCCGTGCTGTCACCCGAATGTACCACCACCTCGAAGGGCAGCAGAGCTCCCCAAGCTGCACCCTCACCTACAACTGCAGTCCCAGCTGGGACTTTTCTTCTGAAAACACCCCAAAACTTTTAAGAGCTTGGTTTTGGGGATGGTCCTTGGAGGGGGGGGCACAGACCACTGCCAGCCCCAGGCTTTGCATGCGGCTGCTCTCTGGCTGTATCTGGGACGCGCATCTTTCTCCTCCCTTAACTCCCAGGCATTCGCTTGTTAATTATTACCGCTGCTGCCAGAGCGGCTTCGATGCCCAGCTGCCCCGACCCACCGGCCAGGGCTGCTGCGGATGCTGGGCTATACGGCATCTCCATAATCTCCTGGCAGGAGCCAGGCTGAGGCCTTTCCTTTGGGAAGACAGGTTGGAGACCCCCGAGCAGGGTTGTTAGCACCACTTGCTGCCGGGGATGGAGAGGCTCTGCCCGGACGGCCAGGTTGCGTCGTGCAAAATTAACTCAGGGAAGTTCTTCCCCAGCCCAGCGCGCCCCCCCCGGGGAGGTGAAGTGACCCAACGCCACCGGCGATGGGCACGGCAGCGTGACCGCCCGTGTCGGCCAGCCCGGCACGACCACAGCACGCAGCGTGGTACCCCCCTCTCCTCCTCCTCCCTGCTCCCCATCTACCCGGCACACGAATCCCACCCCCGGCACGCCAGCCCCGGTGCACCCACGCTGCCTGGCACCCCCGCGGCACGACGACCATCATCGGGCTCGTTATACCATCCGGCTCACACGCACCGAGTCGTGTCCCGTCCCCCCCCGCGTCATCCCAACACGCAGGGCTCCTCTCGCACAG